ATATTTTGTTTTCTCTGAAATGCATTTTCCAATTGGATAATTATTGCTTTTTAATAACTAATTGAAATAAGGAGATGAGAACAAGAACATGAACAATACATACATGGTAGACGCAATTTGCACCGCCAAATGCCCCTCCTTAGATGTTAGAAATTCTGGTTTTTCGAAATGGTGAGAAGTAAAGTTTGATTGTTTATAAATCTCGAAGAACCATTCTGCCATCTTTCTTGATAATGGATGGGCTATTTTTCCAAAGTGACGATCATCCCGATTTAAGATTGCATCAAACTTTTCGGAATCTTTATGATACAATAATGGGTGAGGAAAGGTTGCCAAAAGATGTCCAGACCGTATTGGATCGTTTTGTGCAACATAATTTAAGTTGTGCAGGGATTGTTATCAATCTTTGTATCCCTAAAGCCGGCAAAGTTAAAAATTTCGGGTTGATCTTGAAGGCTTGAGTTACCGGATACGATCATAAAGAAAGACTCAGAGCAGTGTGATAAATTTTCCTGATAAATGAAACGAAAATGTGAATGCTCAAAGAATTTGAATTATTTGAAACTATAGATAACTTGGCCTCATATTCGGCACCATAAAAAGAAGATAATTCAGAAAAAAAATTGCATCAACCAAAGAGAAATGGCCCAATAATATAGATATGAAGGGTAAACCTCGAAGCACATTGGTGGCGCAACAATGTGAAACTGGCCCAAACATATTATACTACCGAGTTAACCTAAAGCCCAAGGTTTTTGCAAAGCGCCGAAATAAAGGAGATAAAAAGGAGTAAAGAATGAAGGTATATGAAAAAATATGAGCGAAAAGTGCGAATCAAAGGTACGTCTACTAGCAAATCATATGAAGGGTAAACCTCGAGTCCATTCGTGGGACACTGGCTCAGCATATTCATTAAAGGTATAATCATAGGCAATGAAAAGAATAAAGTAATAAATGAACAAGCTGTCTCACCATCCTTAGCGACGTTTTTGAGTTTGTAATATTATTGGCTTTATTAATTTTATCTCGGATATACCTCGACGTCTCTTCTTTTTGCCATTTCCAAAGCAAAGTCTGAACAACGTAGTAAAATTCCATTGGTTATGTATTGCTTGTTTAGACCACCCAATTAGCAAATGACTCGATTGATTGGTCGTTGATTTTTGTATTTTGTATGTATGGCTTGTTCTGTTCCTTAGAGTCCTATAACAAAGTTCAACTTAGACATATACAAGCTTTCCCACGTTTAACGGTAGAAAATATTTAGGCAGTATTAAATAAAAATAGTGCAACGAAAAAACTTACATTCTCCTTCTCGAGTTGACAACACTCTAATGTAAGTGGTTCCTTTTCTTTGCATTGGTGACGACCGCAATATACTCAATGAGTATGCGTTATATTAAATATTTCGAAATTTACTCAAAAGTTGGGAATCTGTACTTTTATAAGAAGTTATTTTGTCGCACAAATTATGGGTTCTAGTACCCGCCGATGTCCTCATGTGATTTTGGGCCGGAGACCTGTGATCGACGTTTATGCACGAAAAACCGGAAATTCCCCCAATAAGGCAGCCGGGAGTTTTCTTGGGAAATCTGATCGTGATTGATTCTGGGAATAAATTAAAGTCCACGAATGATTGGTCTTTACAAGGGAGGTAATTATGCACGAAGGCAATGTGAAAATAATTTAGAGTTGTGTTGTTATTAATTCGCAAGCATCAATACCGTGCAAGGATTAAAAAACCATACAAAGTTATTTTGAATTCAATTAAGAGTTTCGCTGTCTTCAAAGTTCAAAATATAAAAACTACAAATGTTCGACAAAATGACTAATACATTAACAAATTCCATATCGTCATTCAAACATTTAATCTTATCTAATTATTATATATTATTATTATAATATATATACAAAACGAATTGTATATATATATATATATATATATATATATATTTTTGATGTTCCCTTGACACCTTCGCTCATCCCCATCAACTACCAAATTAAAAATAAATAATAAGAGGTTCATCGTGCTTCATAGTAGAAAATTTCAGACAAGAAACGATAATCACGAAAGCTATAATAATAGTAATAATTAATAGTATTATGATGCATTAAAGATTGCCACTCAACAAGAGTTCTACAGCAGCAGGAACGTTTCCACCAGAAAGCATTAATGCTCTGATATTCTGTTGAGCGTTCCAGAATCCCATCTCGTTCAATTGCTGAAGTTGAACCTGAAATCGTTCTTCTGGTGGTACTGGCGGATTGCCAGAAGCTAGAGGAGTAGTACCGCCACCTAATCCCCAAAGATCCAATAAAGGGTTTGTTGGCGGTTGTATTGGGTTTGTTGTGCCTGCCCCAGGTGTTGCAGCGCTTTGATTAAGCAAATTGAGGAAAGGATTAATAGGAGCCGCGGAACCTGTTGATGATGCGGTGGTAGTGGTCGAAAAGGTTGTTGATGTGGGTGTAGTTGTACTGGTTCGTGTTGTATTAGTATTCGACGTGGGATTAGTTGTCGTTGTTTCAGTAGTTTGTGTCGATGGCGTGGTGGTAGGAGGTGTGAAAGTAGCAGTATTTCCGAGACCTAATCCACCAAGATCTGAAAAACCGCCAGTAAATGGACCAAAATTTCCACCCATCAAGGAAGACATTGCTGCCATTTGTCTCAAAGTTTCCGGATTAGACAATAATGCTTGAAATTCGGGGTTTTGCATATATTGTCGTATTTGAGGAGCCATACCGCTCAATTGTGGACTCGCAGCAATCATACTCTCCAATAATTGTGGGTCTCTAAACATTTGACTCATCATTTGAACCATGGCTGGATTTTGAAGTATTGCATCCAGCGGATTCACTCCACCTGTACCTAATCCTTGTCCAAGTCCGAAGGCAGCAAACGGGTTAGGTTGAGTATTTGTTTGAGGAGTCGATTGTGAGTTTGATGAAGGTGTTGTGCGTGGTTGTTGTCCCCCTGATGACTGCGAAGAGTTACCTTTAGGAAATCAAACTTTCAGGTCAATTTTCATTTACGAAGTTTAGAAAAGTATCTCTCAGATAGAATAAAAATGGACATTTTATTGTTTAAAAAAAGAAACAAGTATTAAGTCCAGTATACATTACCCCCAGGAGCAGAGCCTTTTACCATATGAACAGTCTGGCCGTCTGCGATTTTATAAGTTTCTAACGTGTCAGCATCTTTCAACACTTTTCCAGAATAAATCAATCGTTGTCGTTCTGCAGGAGTCTCGCTTTTTGCAGCAATTGCCTGTTTAAACTCAAGCACCGTTTTAGAAGGGTCAATTGTCACTAAGTACTTTGTGTCGTTAGAGCATTTTACAGTAATTGTAATGTCCGGCATTTTAGCAACAAACAACTAGAAAAGGTATATTTTTGTGTGAAATTCAGATAACGCTTTATCTTGATCATTTGGAAATGACGTTACATGTACTACGGAAAAGTCTAGATAGATACATTTTGTCATAAATTTTTTATTTTTATTTAAATCTTGTCTGCCAGCCATTCTTTCCATTGATCAAGGGTCCACCCAGAACTGACATTATTATCAACCAGGCCATCCCAAAGTACTGTAGGAGAAACGTGGATACCTTCCTGACGACCTAACTTGATTTGTAATTTCAGATCATTGGTGATTTTGTTTCCTACATTACGGGCTGTCGAAGGATCATCCGTAGAAGGGATATGCAACTGTGCGAGAAAATCGGAAGAGGAAATTCCAACTGATTCCGCAAGTTTTGCAAGCTTGTTGTTAATTTGATCGCGATTGAGTGCTTGGACTGATTCATCATAGTAACTACGCGTTTTTTTTAAACGAAGATTGGATTATCATTGCTCATATTCAAGTTATAGAAATAAAAATTCTTACTCTCTCTGGGACTCGAATAAATTCGCAGAGAATTCAAAGAACTTGGTCTTGTCAACTTTTTCCACAGCTAATGCAGCCTTTTTTTATTAAACTAATGGTAATTAATACATGATAACGTGAAAAATTTAACATAAATGAAAGGTATACCTCATGAACTATGGTTGAAGAAGGATGCCAGGGTTGAACTTGGTGACGGAAAATGAATTGAACTTTGTTTGAATGTTCCGAGTCAAGATAAGGCAAAACCTCCTGAAAATTAATAATACCAATGAATATGAATTGCAATATAAGAGTGAAGTATCATTTTAATGATGATTTTTGTCTTGTCTACTTTATGGAGTCTTAGAAAAAACCTCGCCGAGAAAGGACACTAAAGAGATAGGCATTAAATCACAATTATTAACATTTAAGTATTTTAACCTTAAATTACTATGGTCTTTTGGGCCATAAGAAAAGCTTAAGACATACCACATAATCCAAATAGGCTTCCAAACAGTGAGCTGCTTGAATTGAGCCGTAACGATGACCTATTCAATGCAAAACACAACATTCTTGAGTGTAAGCTTTATAAATAGCTCGCAAAGCTATTTTACTTTCAACTTTCACTTAATAATGCTTTAAATTACCAACCAGCGTAAATGGGGGAAAGGGCCATTTTTGCACATTTCGACTCGATGCATTCTTCGTTGACTTTATATTTGCATGCAGATCATTGAAAAACCGCATATGATGATTAAAAATTTAATTTTTTCCATAAGTAGAAATGGATAGTACTTGTACTAATTGTACTGATAGTTGGCCATCGCTCTTTTGGCCGCCCTTCAGTGAAAGATATATTCTGAATCTAGAATCTTCAGGTAGTTGCTAAACAATAAAATATATATTATTTAATATCTCTGCTTATTTTTCCTATATATTTCATCGCGAAAATAGATGTCTGGCGTTTTACAGTTATATGGACACTTATCTTCTATGCTTCGATATATGGCGCAGCAGGTTTATGGGCTTGGGCGGTATTTTACCGATCGCGGTGGTCTTTTATGTTGCCTATTATATTTGTAGTGGTTGCTTTATTAATGGGACTCGTTGGCGGAACAATAGTTGGTATGCATAAGATATTTGGATTATATTCGATGTTTGCTATAATTTGAATAACAAATCCCCATCCTTTGTAGGTTATACGCTTAACTTTTTTTATGATGCCGGAAGGTTTAATATGTCAACATGGGTGCCTTGTTTATGGGGATTAACCCAAGCGTTGTTTGCAGTGATGGGATCTTATTCTACAGTAACAACCATTCTCTGATTAAGGATCTTTCATTGCAAAGACTATGCAATTGGAAGCAAGTTGATTCGAAGCATGAAATCAGGGACGAGTCAAGTGTTGATCTTGAAATAATTGCCAAGATGCATATATTTTCAGTAGCTGGCTCACTCTTTTTCTGTGCTATTCATTATTTCGAACTAAAAGCATTAAGATTTTGCTTCAATTTATTTGCATCTTTCTTCAAATCCCTAATTGACACAATTCTTCGAATTTTTTTTAGTTCACTCGGACACAGAGATATTCTTCCAACATACATAACATACATACATGTCGATAAACATTTAATTATTTTCGAATTTTCACATTATCACTCGCGCATAAATTTTGATCTAGTGACCAACAAAACTCGATTATTAAATTAAATTAAATAAATAGTTTTTTCTATCGAAGGTTGAGAACTTTATATGCCAACTTGGCAACTATGCTTATCTCTATATGTGTGTAAGAGAGTGATTGAGTGAGAAAAGGAGAAAGAAATAATGAACCTATTATTTTGAAAATAATACAAAAATGTCTGTGAAATGATCAATTTCTTTTGTGTAACCAGATATCACATCTGATATCTTTAAACCACCAACTCGCTGCAGTCCAGGACTCAATGGGACAAATTCGAGTTGAAAATCAACAACATTATCTGGTGCCAATTCCCCTAGATTCTTAGTAGAAGGACCACTTAACAGCACTGCTCCCATTTTGGATTTTACGGCAGTCACCACCACTTTTAATACAGAAGTGGTGCGATTTCTGATTCGACATCCTAATGTGAATGGTGTCTCGAGTATAATTGATGCGGGTATCGTCGTAACAGACAGTTCGATTTCTTCCAAAATGGGTGGTTTACGTGTTAATTGACTTGTTTGTAGTCTGCCTGTCTCGCCTGAATTAGACCGCCACACGATATCAAGTTTTCCTAATACATTGATTGTTCTTGCGAGACGTTCTTCTATTCCGGGTTTTGGAGTTAACATGTATAAATATTGTCGAATATCTTGAGGGTTTAAATAATTCTGAATCCCAAATATACTTTCAGGCTCTTCTTCTTCGACGTTTTCTTCCAGGCTCCTCTCTGAATTTTGTGTGTCTTCCTTGTCATTGATATTGTCAATTTCCTTTTTGGTTGATTCAAGTTGCTTAGACATCACTTCCATCCCATTATCATCAACTACATAATTAAGATCCTTGAATCCAAATACATCACCAGACTCGAATTTCATTCTTTCAAGATGCATTTCTCGATCTGCCACATTTTGCACCTGCACCTCCAAAAAAACTTTCCCATCAGCCATATTGTTCACTTTTGTCTTCACTGCTAATGGATTCATCACTTGAAATCGATGTATCTGTCGAATATTTCTCTTCTCTCCATCGTCGGTTAAATATGTCACCGAACAGACAAGTAAATGAACACCCAATTCCTTTATTTCATGCTGTATTACATGCTCTGTGGATTTGCTGGGTCCGAGGGTGGATAAAGGTTCGAGCGATGTGTCTGTGAGTGGAAATCGTTGTGTACTGGTTTGTATCTCTGCTTTTACGCTAATTTCACGTGTAAGAACTGTGGAATCGTTTGATACACGTATTAAACTGCCAAAAGTCTCCCCAAGATACACCTTTCCAAAAGAGGTGTCTTTAGCACTCCCAGGCTCTGACTCGGTTGCTTCTGTGAGCGTTGTTGAATCTCTATCATTATTATTCCGAGGGTCTACCGGAGTGACTAAGGGATTTGGTATTCGTATAACTTTAAGGGATAAAAGGTGTGGTTCGCGTGATTGATCCATTCTTGCGCGGAAGACAAGTTGTTTGGCTTGAATTTTGCGTCAAGCATTTACATTTCTCGATTAATTGATGATCTACGAGCAATTTCTAAATAAGTTCTAAAGAATTCCGTTTATTTTCTTGATATTTAATTATCATTATTCAATAAAAGAAAGCTATGTCTGACGACGAAGGTGCATCTAACAGTAAGTTTCTCATTGCTCTTTCTGACTGAGCATATCTGTCGTCTTGATTTTCTCAAAGGTGCGATCTCACCTTTGTTAGAAGTTTCATTTGTGTTTTCTCTTATAATGCTCTTTTGAGATCTTTTGCTAAAGGCCATTTTTTTCCATTCTTTCTATAAAAAAGATGAACTGCTCTTAATGGCAGCTAAACAAGACTCCGAAGATATACTGGAGGATATTTTTTCGCAGCCAGGAACATATGAGATAAACTATGTTGATAGTATAGGAAATACCGCGTTGCATTACGCGTAGGCATGATTTTTTATATTAATTTGGCTTTAACTGTAATGTGTTTGCCTGAAATATAAATTAGTTTTTTTTGACTATGTATTTAAGAGCTCAATTCGGTTCTTTATCTGCAGTTGAATTGCTATTAAAACAGCCAAATATCAAACTTGACATAGCAAATAAATTGGAAGGAGACACGCCGCTACATAAAGCAGTTCAGTATGAAGACGCTAACGTATCATTGCAAATCGGTATGTGTGCCTTTGCACGTTTATACTTTATATCGAATTTTCGGAAAATGGGCAAAGAATTAACGCGAGTTTTGTGAATGAATCGAATGAATTCATAAATAATATTGATCAAATTAATTTTTTTCTGATGTTTATTCTGAATTTTTTTTATTTCATAGTAAGATTGTTAATTGAAGCCGGAGCAGACCCACTGTACGTATTTAAATTCAATTTTGTGCTATTTATTCTTATGATTACTGTGCTTTTTATCATTAGTAAGGAATCTAATTGTGATTTTTTTTCACCAAAAGAAAACGAAATAAAAATAGGCAAAAACCCGAAAATTTGGTTCAACCAGACTCTCAACAACTAAAGAGTTTATTACAACAAGCATCGATGGCCCTTCAAGTGGTATTTGAAAAATTCGTGACAAATTTCTATTTTTTGATTATCACTTGGGATATTTTGATTTAATGTTGAATTATTTACGATTAGGACGCGAGAGACATAGCAGACGAAGATTCAAATGGCGATGGCGAATCGGCAAGTGATTCTGATTGAATGAGATTGTAGGAAAACTTCTTTAGGGTTCAGCAAAAATATTTCTTAGAAAATTAGAGAATGTTGAATTTGTATATTAATTGGTAAATTAATAGTGTCTTGGCAATATGCTAACTATATTAAAACCTCCAAGCCAAAAGCAGTTAGAGTTAATAAGACAATAAAAGATTAATGCTTTATTAGCTACTAAATTATTTCGAGACCTTTTTTTTACTCGTTATCATACATGCATACACATTCCGCATCATCAAACCAACCAATTTTATGTGTAACTACTACCACTATAAACAACAACAAATAGAGGTTCAAACGATTTTCGTCTTTTGGAAAAAAGAGAAATTTTGTCTCTTTTCTATTCTATTCCTTCTCTTTTTCTCGAATATTTTATATTGAAGATTTTCTAATTTCCGATCCTTCCCACTACTTACAGTCTTTTTTCGTGAAGAAATTTAAATTAATTAATCAATTAACTAGTTAATTCGTTAATTAGTTAATTAGTTAATTATACAATTAATTGTCAATTTCAAATATACATGCATATATCTGTATTTCTTTCATTATATTTTTTACATATATATACGCACCACAAATTACATTTTTCACTTTTTGACGCTGAAATTAATAAATAATATAAAAACTTTACAAAATAATTTCTCATTTCATTGTGTTAATATTTAAGTATTCAAAAAGTAACCAGAATAAAAAATAATCAGAAAAATTTAAAATTTAAAAAATAAATCACAATAATGTCCCCAGCACCAACGGTTCTTGTTATCGGTGGAGTTGGTTTTATCGGTCGTCACGTGGTGACTTATTTGGTCGAGAATAATTTGGCGTCAGAAATAAGAGTGGTCGATAAGGTGTTGCCACATACTGCATTCTTGAACGAGCGACAGAATGAGGCTTTTAGAAAAGTCGAGTACTTACAAAAGAATATGGCTGACCAAGGTATATATATAAATATATGATTATGATATATAACAGTATCGAATTTAGATGAATATCTCGATTAATTTGAATTGGGAATAAAAAATATATAAAATAAAGCTTCGATAGAATTCGCACACACAAGAAAAGATGGAAGTTCTTTTGATTTCGTGTTCAACCTGGCAGCCGAAACTAAATATTCCATGAGCGAACGGGTATTGATGAACCTTGATTAACTCGGGTTACGAAATCATTATAATCAGATTAACTGAAAAGCGCTATTCGTTATTTCAATCGATCAACTTTTCTATATTAGTTTTACGAAGAACGTATCTTTCTCCTTTCGACCCTAAATGCAAAAGAGGCAGCAAAACGTGGTGTGAAATGCTTTGTTGAAGTTTCTACTGCGGAAATTTACCAGTCTGATAAAGTAAGAACTACTTACATGCGTACATCTACGCTTTGCGCATACGATTAATTATGATATTTTCCCTTTAATCGACTAGAAACCTAGTAAGGAGGATGCAAAAATCATACCATGGACTACTATTGCTAAATACAAATATCGAGCGGAAGAAGAGCTCAAAAAGATCCCTGGGTAAATAAAAAATCAAAGAACATTAATTGGCTGACCAAAGGATATGTACATTAATTAGTTGACCATCAATTCTTTTATAAAGTTTAAATCTTGTGATTCTAAGACCTTCTATTGTTTATGGTATGGGCGCCACAGCAGGACTGAGTAAGTTATTGTATTTCGTTTTACCTTATGGCATTGAAGCAGTTGATTGATTTTTCGCAATACTCTTATAAATTATAGCACCACGTCTTGTCTGTGGTCGTGTTTACCAACACCTAAACGAAGAAATGAGATGTTTGTGGTCCAAAGATTTAAAAATTAACACGGTACATGTCTTGGACGTGGCTCGTGCTATCTGGCACGTGGCTGTATGGTATCGTGATAACGAAAAAGCTGGAAAAGGGCCTTTTGTCTATAATTTATCGGATCCAGGAAATACAGGTAAAATTAAAAAGAAAAATACGCACATTCATTAATTTACAAACTAAAAACTAAATTCTAAAAAAAAATCAGATCAAGCAAAAATAAACGGACTCATCACTCAAATATTCGGAGTAAAAACTGGGTACCACGGAAGCAGCATCGATAAACTCGCCCAACACAATCTTGACGGTGCCACCGACGAAGTCAACGACAAACACGCAACCCCGTGGGCAGATCTTACTCGAGAATCCGGAATAAAAGCGACACCGCTTAGTACGTACGTTGACAAAGAGCTTTTGTATAATAATGCACTGTCAGTTGATGGAACAAAGATTGTCGAGGAAACTGGGTTCACGTATGAGGTTCCTGAAGTTACTGTTGAAAAATTGCAGGAGATAATTGATGATTTCAAGTTGAATGGGTTGTGGCCGAAGGATATGATATGAGATTATTTATGTTTGATATTATTTGGTTTCACAATTATTATTTTAATTATTATTATTAGTATTAATTGCCGGTATATATTTATTATATATATAAAATACATTATAAAAATTTTAATAATATAAATATGTGTAAATAAATACATATATTAATTAATAGTGTTTGAAAATCATAGGAAACAAAATTTCAATCTAAAATTAGTAAAATAAATGTTGATCAAGACAAAATAAAGTTAGTCGAATTATGCTATTGATCAAACTGCTTTTTTTTACGGTTTTCCAAGCTAAAAAACAATTATGATCGAGCAGATTGTATCAGGTGGACAAACAGGAATAGATCGTGCTGCATTGGACATTGCAATTGAACTGAAAATTTCACACGGTGGATGGTGTCCCAGAGGTCGAAAAGCCGAGGATGGAATTATTCCACGATACTATCAACTACGAGAAACGGGTTCTGATAATTATAGTGAGCGAACAAAATTAAATATAAAGGACTCTGATGGCACATTGATCCTTATTTCTGGCTCTGTTCCAGTTACTAATGGCACTATGTTAACTATTCAGGAAGCTAAATTTAGGGAAAAACCACACTTGGTTGTTGACTTATCTAAAGAATTTGACGTTAACCTTTTGAGTAGATGGATAAAGGAGAATAATGTTAAAGTACTTAATATAGCGGGACCACGCGAATCTTCGAGTCCAGGCATATATCAATTAGGCATCCAGTTTCTTAAAAACTCTCTGTCTCCTCTGGTTAATTAAGTCTACTGGACAGAACCCTGTGCTTTACAAAGCAAACACTCAAATAATTTGTCGGAGATTAGGTTAAAAATGCAAAAATTATACAGATCATGTAGATCATTGGGTCAAATTTATCATAATTCTGTAATATTTATATATCTAAATACTATATTGTGATATTTCATTTTATTAGCGTTAGATATATATATATATATTGCATTTTGTTTGGATCAGCATAATTATTATTATTGAAACAGACACAATATACTGATTTAGATTGGATTTAAATTTAGATGACATTGTATTATGGCGCTCTTAATATCCTTGATAGTAACAAAGGCTGCTGTTTTTTGTTGATATTTCGGAAAATTGATGATCTGTGGACAAGGAATTGAGTTCATTATCATCTAGTGGATTATTATTGTTTTCTGAATTAAAGGAATAATTTCCAATAATAGGGGTGTTTGTCGATCCATATTCGTAGTTTGTTTCTTTCTTGATGTTAGTTGTCTCAGGGGAATTGTTTGTCAAGCCATATACGTAGTCTGGTTCTTGCTTTACGAAAATTCTCTCAGGGGAATCGGCAGAATGATTGGTGATAATCGGATGATCCAAATTATCCATGACTTGATGACCACAAAGTTTGTCAAGCGCGTTATTGGTTGTAGTGGTTGTTGTAGAATGCTGAATGGTTTTGAAGCAGTTTAGATAGCTATCAACATCTTTGTCGTATTGCTCTTTATCTATTTCAGCAATTTGTAAAAATGGTGCACGTTCTTCCGTGGTCATCTGTTTCCATTCACATATTAATTCCTTTATAATTTCGTCTTTATCCATGCTCAAATGAGTTGTTTGTAAACGAATGTCACTCACTACTCGATCAGACACGAATAACACGAATGGGTCGAGCGGCAAACGCGGTGGCAAGATGGGTGCATTGATCGTCTCTAAAGTAGCACCAGCAGTTGTGGCATTATTAGTAGTAAATGAAGATGAGGATGATAACGGCGGTGGCGAAGATAATGGAGGTGATGATAATGGCGGAGATAATGATGGCAAGTGTGGCGATTTGTCGTCGTCATTGCGTTTCCAGAGTCTTGCCTTTTTGTTTGGATGATATATAGCGTTTTTAGATTCGTATAACTCACTTTTTGCTAGTTTGGCACGAAGAATAAACACATTTTGTTGCTCCTAAATCAAAGTTTATTAAGTAATAACCGTTTAAATATTTGTTTTTTTTTTAATACGCGTTTCCTTGACAATGAAACGCGTCAAATTTTTATTCGGGGTGAGATAAAGAAAAGCAATCAATAATAAAACCTTTGACAGTCCTGCCCAGCTATCGTCAATTTTTCGTGACAAATCTTTAGTTGTCATTAAAGGAGCTGACTTTAAAATATTCAAACGTATAAGTTCGTTATGATACCAATATCCTTCCATTATTTCGTTCAAATGTTTTTCATCCATTGTAACCAACAATAAGACTATCGAATGCGTTAATTTATTATAATGATTGTAAGTAATGATGAAAATGATAATTTTTCAAAATTGGATTTTTTTGAATGAAAAAAGAACGTGTCATTATCAGCATCAACTGCCCGATGCGTTTCTGAAATCTGTGGCAGGTTACGCCAATCCCGGCAAAATTGAAAAATAAACGATTTGGTTACGTTCTGTCATTTTTATTTCACTTTGGGAATCGTTAAAGCCTGATCCATCCAGCGATCAATCTGAAACAAAACACTAAAGGAATTTTATTATAAATATATAACCATTAAAAACATATCAAATAAATAACCTTTAAAATCTATAAGATCATATTACGTATTTTTTTTTGTTCATTGTTCTATAAAAATTATTTGTACAGTCGCATCTCTCTAAGTGCACCCCTTTGATGTGCATTTATAGAGAGCAAAAATATATAGAACTCATATAAGCTGGGACCAAATTATACCTTGCACTTAGCCAGAGGAGTGATTCAGGTTCATGTGACCTCGATCCAGGGACTCGGAAAAATTCCGAAATTGAATTTTATTAAATAATTCTTTATTATAATACATAATTGTAAAGTGCACGAAGAGATTCTTGACCAAGATTTTGCTTAACACCATCCAAAATTTTGATGATGAAATTGGTAACCAAATATATTTGATGGCTATTTCACTAAGAAGGGGTATAATTGATATGAAATTTGTTCCAAAAATCATCTAAATTATCAAAATTCGATTTCATTTAGATTATGATTTTTTTTAGTTTTTTATGACTTGTTGTATTAATATGCGAAGAATAGTTATTTTATAACTGAATGACTACAAAACCGACATAATAAAATTCCATTATCATAACAAAAATCTTCAGAAAACTCTTGCGCACGAGCATACATAAAATGGGATGGGATAATCTTTTAACAAAACCAATTTTTTTAATACAAATGTATAACTTTCTATAAAAAATCCCAATTATTCAACTTTACATATATGGGTGATGCAAATTTTTGCTATCTGAAGCATTAAAAAGAATGCAAAAGTATTGCAATTTATTGTATAGCAGGATTTTAGCTCAGGCTGATATTTATTAGAATACTTGATTCACTATCTTCTTATTGAATATGATTTTTAATTTATTAGATTTCAAGTCAAAGTATATTATTATAATGTTCTATAATAGATTTTACTATTATAATATCAAAATAATATTAGTAATAAAGAATAATATGATATTGTTACCTTTTTGGTACGAGTTCTAAAATGAGAGTGAGTATAAAATCTAATATTACAAAAGCACATGATAAAAGTGACCACATGCTTAAAGTGATGTTTGGGAGAGTCTTTAAAAGATTTATTAACAAGAATGTTTCTACTATTATTTTCAAGTTAATCTAAAGGTAAATAATGATAGTGTTCTTGTTATAACTAACTAGAATATAGTCCAATTCCAAAATATAATTTCAAGACAGATATAATAAATAGTTTATTAATAAGATGAATTAATAGATCTTAATCAAGATCTATTCTACAAGAAAGATTTCTTAGAATTCTCTTAAAACTATAATCTA